GTATTGTTTATTTATAGATCTATGTATGGCGCTTTCTGTCTCCTGTACTGTATATAAACACTCCAGAGTGGATGGTATAATCCTTTATCCACCAATAATGTAGAACATCAAACATATCAACAATTTTAATAAATTGCAAAACAAAGGGGGGAGAAGAGTCTGCGCTAAACCGGAGGAGCAGCAACCCTATAAGGGAATCCCTCAAGAAACCCTTGTAGAGACAATAAAATACAAAAAGGGGGGAAAGGGCTGCGCTAAAAAATAATCAATAGACAAAGTTCGTCTAAAAAATGGATAAAAACAGTCTCACTGATATGTGATGGTAGGGTAATATTCCTCAGGTGTTGATCCGTCCGTGTGGTGGCAGATAGTCCATATATGTGGAAATAAAAACAGATAAAGAGCATCCAATGGTGAAATATAGTACGTTTAGATGTGATGTATAAATCAAGAGAAAAGTATTCCACTCACATTTGTTGGAGCTTGAACCAGCTCTAGGAGAAGAGGCACTTAGTGGTTTAATCCCCACAATCGGATACACTTTAGTGATGGGTCCGTCTGTCACAACTTTGGATTTTCTTGATGTAGGCTGGAACCTGCTCAGATGTGCGTAGTTCTATGGTGCTTGGGGAGATAGGTCCGCCTCTCCAGTTTGGAATAATGGGTATCCACGAAATATATAAAACAGTAGATAGTGCTCTCAGTATGAACAGTAAAAATATTTTAAGAAAATAAGTTATACTTACAAGAATAGAGCAGACAAATACTGCTCTATTACCACAGCGCTGGTGGAATTATCCCCACCTGAGGATTTCTTTTGACAGGATACACTTCAGGGTTATGGTGTTTTAAGAAATAAAAATTAAAAATAAAAAAATTTTTTATAAAAATAAAAATAAAAAATAAAAAGATATAGTATAAAAACAATGTATGAAAGTGCCAGGAGTAGTTGAAATGTATAAAATACAATAAAAATAAGTATAAGATTGGTCCTCGTATAAAAGGCTAACCAAAAATAACTTTTATTGATTTAAAATACACTTTTTAAACCATTTACGCGTTTCACCTATGAGGTTTTTTCAAAATGGTAAAAGAACAATACACCTGGCAGAGAACAGAATTTATAAGTTCATACAGTAATTGAATTTGGCGCCAAAATTTAGTGCACCAATCATATTCAATGATTAAAACCGAACGAAAATTACATTAAGAAATGAGTAAAAGACCATATAAATACAAAGATCTAAGCCTGATTAGGCTTGGGTAATACTAATTTTATAAAAACGAAGCTTTTAGAAAGTTTTATTTTAAGTTGGTCCCGATCACGTGATCGGGACGTGCCGCGCATGCGCGGACCGTCTGAATAGGCGGATCGCTTAGAAATGTAAACAGAGGGCTCGGTGGCCGGCATGGGAGCGCAATGCTCCATGGGAAATGGAGTCCTGCCGGTCATCGAGCTCTTAAGGGCAGAAAACATAAGGGATTGGATTTTAAACAGTTTTACAGCATTCCAATAGAAGTATTTAGCAGAATCCATTTTACAATCTTACAGCATTCCAATAGAAGTATTTAGCAGAATCCATTTAACAATCAGGATAATAATAAAGCTGCAAATGCTAAAAATACACATACTGAAAATATAAATACAGGTATATAAATGTATTATGTAATATATAATCTCTGCAGTATAAATGCACTAAAAATAATTTAAAAGATAAGAATTCCATAAAAAATGAAACAGTAAAAGTGGGTATTGTTATAAAAAATTATGCAGATCAAAATCTGCATTAAGTCCATTAGGTGTTAAAGTCTGTAGTTTATAAACCCACTCCATCTCAATTTTACCTAAAATATTTTTTATATCTCCTCCTCTCCAAGGTAATGAGCATTTTTTTATACCCATATATTTTAACATTTTTGGGTCTTTGTTGTGGATTAAAAAATGTTTGGATAAAGAGTGGTTTAAATAACCATTTTTTATGTTCCTACAATGCTCACCTAATCTGATTTTTAAACATCTGGTGGTCATCCCAACGTATTGGAAACCACACGGGCATTGTAGTAAATAGATAACGTTTTTGGTGTTACATGTTATAAATTCTTTTATTTTAAAAGTGGTTTTGGTTTTGTTTGAAGTAAATTCTGTTATTTTTGGTGGCATTGTAGGATCAGCGGTTTTACATACATTACAGTTTTTGCATTTATAAAAGCCTAGAGATTGCGGAAAGAAGGATACAGAGTTATTAGATTTAGTCTCTTTAGTAAAATTGGTGGTTAGAATAGATTTAAAATTAGGAGCCCCTCTAAAAATTACACTAGGTTTTTCTGGAATAATCTTGGAGAGTTTTTCATCGTGTTCTAAAATGTGCCAATGTTTCCGGATAATCTTTTGTATTTCTTTACTCTTATTATTAAAATTAAAGATGATAGGGAGGGATATAGAGTCGTTTTTACTTTTGAGCTTATACTTTAAAAGCTCATCTCTATTTTTATTTTTTACCTCATTGATATTCTCCAAAAGGGCTTTTTCTGGGTAATCTTTCTCCATAAATTTGTTTTTGAGAGTATTAGCTTGTTCTTCAAAATTTTCTAGTTGTGTGCAATTTCTACGTAGTCTGAGAAATTGACTTTTCGGGACACTGTCAAGCCATGGTTTATAGTGGCAGCTGTTCTTGTCAATCACTGTGTTTACACATACTTTTTTTTAAAAAGTTTTTGTATTAATTTTACCGTTTTTAATAAATATATTGAGATCTAAAAAGTTTATTTGTTCTCTACTAAACTCGTGGGTTAAAATTATACCCCTATTGTTAGTATTAAGAACATTAAAAAAAGAGATAAGATTGTCTTCGGATCCATTCCAGATAAAAAAAAGATCATCAATATATCTAAAATATGAGACCAGGTTTGCCCTTAAATTGTCCCCATTATAGATAACTGTAGATTCCCAATCTGCCATAAACAGATTGGCATAGCTAGGGGCAAACCTGGTACCCATAGCTGTTCCTCTTTTTTGGAGGTAAAAGGAATCTAAAAACCAAAAGTAATTGTTTTTTAAAATAATATTAATACCCTCTAAAATGAAATCTATTTGTTCTTCCGGAATTCTATCTTCCTTTAATAAAATATTTTTGATGGCTTCACATCCAATGTTGTGGGGTATAATTGTATATAATGATTGGACATCACAAGTAACCAGGATAAAATTGGGGTCCCATTTAAAATCATTTAAAAAGTTTAAAAGAGACATAGAGTCTTGAAGATAAGATTTCATTTTTTTAACGGCAGGTTGTAAAAGAGTGTCTATATATTGGGATAGGTTGCATAAAAGCGAATTTATCCCTGACACTATTGGTCTGCCAGGGGGATTAGTGTCATTTTTGTGTATTTTTGGCAGAAAATATATTACCGGGATTTTTGGAAATTTTTTGTTTAAAAAGTTGTACTCTTGTTTAGTTAAAATGGATTGAGATACACCTTTGTTTAAAAAAGTTAAAAAGAGATTTTGAATGGTCTTTGTTGGATCTGATGGAAGTTTCTCATAGACATCGGGGTCGTTTAACTGTCTATGCGCTTCCTCTATGTACATGGCACTAGATAGGATGACTAGACCACCTCCTTTGTCGGCTGGTTTTATCACAATATCTTTGTCTTCTTGTAACTCTCTAAGTGCTTTTCTTTCGTTGTTTGTTAAATTTTGTGTATCATATTTATTAGTCTTTAACTTATTTAGATCGTTTGTAACTAGTTTCTCAAAAACAGATAAAGGGGCAGTTTTCATAAAAGCTGGATAAAATTTAGATTTGTCTTTAAAATGTGTGTTAATAATATGTTTTCTCTGGGAGGGGGAGGGGGGAAGAATTGCACTATTATCAGTGGGATTATTGGAGATAAAATTTTCTTCTGTTTTTTCTTTAAAATAGCGTTTCAGAGTTGCTTTTCGGACAAACTTGTTAATGTCAATAAAAGCCTCGAAGGATTTAAAAGGGTTAGTTGGGGCAAACTTGAGACCTTTGTTTAAAACCGACAATTGTGTTATGGTAAGGGTTTTTTGGGAAAGATTAAAAATCCCACTGTTTAGATTTTTAGGGGAACTTATTTTCTTTCTAGTTTTTCTCTCTTGCTCCCGTCTTCCACTTCTTCTTCCTCTAGGCTTAAGGTTCTTTTTTGGGATCGTGACGGGTGAGGTGTTTGATTCAAAGTGCTTGGGTGAGTGCGAATTTCTAAAAAATGATCCTCATTTTCAAATTCAGAATCGATTGATAGCAATTGGTACCTATTGGAGTGGTAAGGGATACTGGGTGATTTAGGTTGCTCAATTCGATCGTTAATATATTTGGATCTTTGATGTTTTGGTGAAAAGTTTCTCTTATATGAATTGGTGGTATATTTCTTGGGTGGTGGAGAATGTGTATATTTTGGTTTGTAATGAGGTGGTATTTGTGATTGCTGGTATTTTGGTCTGACTGAAGGTCCAACTTGGGATCCGGAATAGAAATTAGTTGATTGCTTGTGTGATGGTTGGGGTTTATCGGGTGACTGTGTGAATTTCTTATTAGTGTAATTTTGATATTTATTATAGTTTTGGTGATGATAATCTTGTTGGCGAGTGTTGATAGTGTTTCTTCTTGTTTGGGGAAATGTGTCAGTCCTTGTGTGATGTCTATTGGTTTGAGAATAGTCCTTATAGTTTTGTGTAGTATATCTCCTGTTAAGGTGATAAGTGCGTACTTGTTTGTTTGAGTAATCTGTCTTGTCCCTAATGTATTTCTTTATCTTAATATGTTTCGTGTCTGTCTCAACTTTTTCAATCTTACTCTGAATTAATATGCAGTTTTGGTTATAGGCTTGTGTTTCGGTGAAGGGTAATAGTTTTTCTTTTAGGTTATTGATTTCTGAATCTAAAATGGATAGTTTTTTACTTTTTTTTACAATTAAGGTCTCCATTAGGCCTAGGGTGCATAGTTCCAGTTTATTATTCCATTCTTCCATGAATTCAGGATCATCTTGATCGGAAGTAGGTAATTTGAGTAATCTTAGACCTCGAGGGGTAATTCTTTCATCAATGTATTTTTTTAGGGTGGCTATTTCCCATTTTAATTTGATTTCTGAGGTAAGGGATCTTTCTAATTTAATAAAAAGATCTTCTTGGTTAAAAATAGGGTAATTTATCTGAATTGGGCTGATTACCTCTGTGTCAAATACATTTTCGACATCAATAATATAGTTATTCCTGTAGTCAAATATAGACATGATGGGAAACAAGTAGAAAAGCTGCTGACTCTAGAGGGAATTATACAAATTGCAAAACAAAGGGGGGAGAAGAGTCTGCGCTAAACCGGAGGAGCAGCAACCCTATAAGGGAATCCCTCAAGAAACCCTTGTAGAGACAATAAAATACAAAAAGGGGGGAAAGGGCTGCGCTAAAAAATAATTAATAGACAAAGTTCGTCTAAAAAATGGATAAAAACAGTCTCACTGATATGTGATGGTAGGGTAATATTCCTCAGGTGTTGATCCGTCCGTGTGGTGGCAGATAGTCCATATATGTGGAAAAAACAGATAAAGAGCTTCCAATGGTGAAATATAGTACGTTTAGGTGTGATGTATAAATCAAGAGAAAAGTATTCCACTCACATTTGTTGGAGCTTGAACCAGCTCTAGGAGAAGAGGCACTTAGTGGTTTAATCCCCACTATCGGATATACTTTAGTGATGGGTCCGTCTTTCACAACTTTGGATTTCCTTGATGTAGGCTGGAACCTGCTCAGATGTGTGTAGTTCTATGGTGCTTGGGGAGATAGGTCCGCCTCTCCAGTTTGGAATAATGGGTATCCACGAAATATATAAAACAGTAGATAGTGCTCTCAGTATGAACAGTAAAAATATTTTAAGAAAATAAGTTATACTTACAAGAATAGAGCAGACAAATACTGCTCTATTACCACAGCGCTGGTGGAATTATCCCCACCTGAGGATTTCTTTTGACAGGATACACTTCAGGGTTATGGTGTTTTAAGAAATAAAAATTAAAAATAAAATTTTTTTTATAAAAATAAAAATAAAAAATAAAAAGATATAGTATAAAAACAATGTATGAAAGTGCCAGGAGTAGTTGAAATGTATAAAATACAATAAAAATAAGTATAAGATTGGTCCTCGTATAAAAGGCTAACCAAAAATAACTTTTATTGATTTAAAATACACTTTTTAAAACCATTTACGCGTTTCACCTATGAGGTTTTTTCAAAATGGTAAAAGAACAATACACCTGGCAGAGAACAGAATTTATAAGTTCATACAGTAATTGAATTTGGCGCCAAAATTTAGTGCACCAATCATATTCAATGATTAAAACCGAACGAAAATTACATTAAGAAATGAGTAAAAGACCATATAAATACAAAGATTTAAGCCTGATTAGGCTTGGGTAATACTAATTTTATAAAAACGAAGCTTTTAGAAAGTTTTATTTTAAGTTGGTCCCGATCACGTGATCGGGACGTGCCGCGCATGCGCGGACCGTCTGAATAGGCGGATCGCTTAGAGATGTAAACAGAGGGCTCGGTGGCCGGCATGGGAGCGCAATGCTCCATGGGAAATGGAGTCCTGCCGGTCATCGAGCTCTTAAGGGCAGAAAACATAAGGGATTGGATTTTAAACAGTTTTACAGCATTCCAATAGAAGTATTTAGCAGAATCCATTTTACAATCTTACAGCATTCCAATAGAAGTATTTAGCAGAATCCATTTAACAATCAGGATAATAATAAAGCTGCAAATGCTAAAAATACACATACTGAAAATATAAATACAGATATATAAATGTATTATGTAATATATAATCTCTGCAGTATAAATGCACTAAAAATAATTTAAAAGATAAGAATTCCATAAAAAATGAAACAGTAAAAGTGGGTATTGTTATAAAAAATTATGCAGATCAAAATCTGCATTAAGTCCATTAGGTGTTAAAGTCTGTAGTTTATAAACCCACTCCATCTCAATTTTACCTAAAATATTTTTTATATCTCCTCCTCTCCAAGGTAATGAGCATTTTTTTATACCCATATATTTTAACATTTTTGGGTCTTTGTTGTGGATTAAAAAATGTTTGGATAAAGAGTGGTTTAAATAACCATTTTTTATGTTCCTACAATGCTCACCTAATCTGATTTTTAAACATCTGGTGGTCATCCCAACGTATTGGAAACCACACGGGCATTGTAGTAAATAGATAACGTTTTTGGTGTTACATGTTATAAATTCTTTTATTTTAAAAGTGGTTTTGGTTTTGTTTGAAGTAAATTCTGTTATTTTTGGTGGCATTGTAGGATCAGCGGTTTTACATACATTACAGTTTTTGCATTTATAAAAGCCTAGAGATTGCGGAAAAAAGGATACAGAGTTATTAGATTTAGTTTCTTTAGTAAAATTGGTGGTTAGAATAGATTTAAAATTAGGAGCCCCTCTAAAAATTACACTAGGTTTTTCTGGAATAATCTTGGAGAGTTTTTCATCGTGTTCTAAAATGTGCCAATGTTTCCGGATAATCTTTTGTATTTCTTTACTCTTATTATTAAAATTAAAGATGATAGGGAGGGATATAGAGTCGTTTTTACTTTTGAGCTTATACTTTAAAAGCTCATCTCTATTTTTATTTTTTACCTCATTGATATTCTCCAAAAGGGCTTTTTCTGGGTAATCTTTCTCCATAAATTTGTTTTTGAGAGTATTAGCTTGTTCTTCAAAATTTTCTAGTTGTGTGCAATTTCTGCGTAGTCTGAGAAATTGACTTTTCGGGACACTGTCAAGCCATGGTTTATAGTGGCAGCTGTTCTTGTCAATCACTGTGTTTACACATACTTTTTTAAAAAAAGTTTTTGTATTAATTTTACCGTTTTTAATAAATATATTGAGATCTAAAAAGTTTATTTGTTCTCTACTAAACTCGTGGGTTAAAATTATACCCCTATTGTTAGTATTAAGAACATTAAAAAAAGAGATAAGATTGTCTTCGGATCCATTCCAGATAAAAAAAAGATCATCAATATATCTAAAATATGAGACCAGGGTTGCCCTTAAATTGTCCCCATTATAGATAACTGTAGATTCCCAATCTGCCATAAACAGATTGGCATAGCTAGGGGCAAACCTGGTACCCATAGCTGTTCCTCTTTTTTGGAGGTAAAAGGAATCTAAAAACCAAAAGTAATTGTTTTTTAAAATAATATTAATACCCTCTAAAATGAAATCTATTTGTTCTTCCGGAATTCTATCTTCCTTTAATAAAATATTTTTGATGGCTTCACATCCAATGTTGTGGGGTATAATTGTATATAATGATTGGACATCACAAGTAACCAGGATAAAATTGGGGTCCCATTTAAAATCATTTAAAAAGTTTAAAAGAGACATAGAGTCTTGAAGATAAGATTTCATTTTTTTAACGGCAGGTTGTAAAAGAGTGTCTATATATTGGGATAGGTTGCATAAAAGCGAATTTATCCCTGACACTATTGGTCTGCCAGGGGGATTAGTGTCATTTTTGTGTATTTTTGGCAGAAAATATATTACCGGGATTTTTGGAAATTTTTTGTTTAAAAAGTTGTACTCTTGTTTAGTTAAAATGGATTGAGATACACCTTTGTTTAAAAAAGTTAAAAAGAGATTTTGAATGGTCTTTGTTGGATCTGATGGAAGTTTCTCATAGACATCGGGGTCGTTTAACTGTCTATGCGCTTCCTCTATGTACATGGCACTAGATAGGATGACTAGACCACCTCCTTTGTCGGCTGGTTTTATCACAATATCTTTGTCTTCTTGTAACTCTCTAAGTGCTTTTCTTTCGTTGTTTGTTAAATTTTGTGTATCATATTTATTAGTCTTTAACTTATTTAGATCGTTTGTAACTAGTTTCTCAAAAACAGATAAAGGGGCAGTTTTCATAAAAGCTGGATAAAATTTAGATTTGTCTTTAAAATGTGTGTTAATAATATGTTTTCTCTGGGAGGGGGAGGGGGGAAGAATTGCACTATTATCAGTGGGATTATTGGAGATAAAATTTTCTTCTGTTTTTTCTTTAAAATAGCGTTTCAGAGTTGCTTTTCGGACAAACTTGTTAATGTCAATAAAAGCCTCGAAGGATTTAAAAGGGTTAGTTGGGGCAAACTTGAGACCTTTGTTTAAAACCGACAATTGTGTTATGGTAAGGGTTTTTTGGGAAAGATTAAAAATCCCACTGTTTAGATTTTTAGGGGAACTTATTTTCTTTCTAGTTTTTCTCTCTTGCTCCCGTCTTCCACTTCTTCTTCCTCTAGGCTTAAGGTTCTTTTTTGGGATCGTGACGGGTGAGGTGTTTGATTCAAAGTGCTTGGGTGAGTGCGAATTTCTAAAAAATTATCCTCATTTTCAAATTCAGAATCGATTGATAGCAATTGGTACCTATTGGAGTGGTAAGGGATACTGGGTGATTTAGGTTGCTCAATTCGATCGTTAATATATTTGGATCTTTGATGTTTTGGTGAAAAGTTTCTCTTATATGAATTGGTGGTATATTTCTTGGGTGGTGGAGAATGTGTATATTTTGGTTTGTAATGAGGTGGTATTTGTGATTGCTGGTATTTTGGTCTGACTGAAGGTCCAACTTGGGATCCGGAATAGAAATTAGTTGATTGCTTGTGTGATGGTTGGGGTTTATCGGGTGACTGTGTGAATTTCTTATTAGTGTAATTTTGATATTTATTATAGTTTTGGTGATGATAATCTTGTTGGTGAGTGTTGATAGTGTTTCTTCTTGTTTGGGGAAATGTGTCAGTCCTTGTGTGATGTCTATTGGTTTGAGAATAGTCCTTATAGTTTTGTGTATTATATCTCCTGTTAAGGTGATAAGTGCGTACTTGTTTGTTTGAGTAATCTGTCTTGTCCCTAATGTATTTCTTTATCTTAATATGTTTCGTGTCTGTCTCAACTTTTTCAATCTTACTCTGAATTAATATGCAGTTTTGGTTATAGGCTTGTGTTTCGGTGAAGGGTAATAGTTTTTCTTTTAGGTTATTGATTTCTGAATCTAAAATGGATAGTTTTTTACTTTTTTTTACAATTAAGGTCTCCATTAGGCCTAGGGTGCATAGTTCCAGTTTATTATTCCATTCTTCCATGAATTCAGGATCATCTTGATCGGAAGTAGGTAATTTGAGTAATCTTAGACCTCGGGGGGTAATTCTTTCATCAATGTATTTTTTTAGGGTGGCTATTTCCCATTTTAATTTGATTTCTGAGGTAAGGGATCTTTCTAATTTAATAAAAAGTTCTTCTTGGTTAAAAATAGGGTAATTTATCTGAATTGGGCTGATTACCTCTGTGTCAAATACATTTTCGACATCAATAATATAGTTATTCCTGTAGTCAAATATAGACATGATGGGAAACAAGTAGAAAAGCTGCTGACTCTAGAGGGAATTATACAGATTGCAAAACAAAGGGGGGAGAAGAGTCTGCGCTAAACCGGAGGAGCAGCAACCCTATAAGGGAATCCCTCAAGAAACCCTTGTAGAGACAATAAAATACAAAAAGGGGGGAAAGGGCTGCGCTAAAAAATAATTAATAGACAAAGTTCGTCTAAAAAATGGATAAAAACAGTCTCACTGATATGTGATGGTAGGGTAATATTCCTCAGGTGTTGATCCGTCCGTGTGGTGGCAGATAGTCCATATATGTGGAAATAAAAACAGATAAAGAGCTTCCAATGGTGAAATATAGTACGTTTAGGTGTGATGTATAAATCAAGAGAAAAGTATTCCACTCACATTTGTTGGAGCTTGAACCAGCTCTAGGAGAAGAGGCACTTAGTGGTTTAATCCCCACTATCGGATATACTTTAGTGATGGGTCCGTCTTTTACAACTTTGGATTTCCTTGATGTAGGCTGGAACCTGCTCAGATGTGTGTAGTTCTATGGTGCTTGGGGAGATAGGTCCGCCTCTCCAGTTTGGAATAATGGGTATCCACGAAATATATAAAACAGTAGATAGTGCTCTCAGTATGAACAGTAAAAATATTTTAAGAAAATAAGTTATACTTACAAGAATAGAGCAGACAAATACTGCTCTATTACCACAGCGCTGGTGGAATTATCCCCACCTGAGGATTTCTTTTGACAGGATACACTTCAGGGTTATGGTGTTTTAAGAAATAAAAATTAAAAATAAAATTTTTTTTTTATAAAAATAAAAATAAAAAATAAAAAGATATAGTATAAAAACAATGTATGAAAGTGCCAGGAGTAGTTGAAATGTATAAAATACAATAAAAATAAGTATAAGATTGGTCCTCGTATAAAAGGCTAACCAAAAATAACTTTTATTGATTTAAAATACACTTTTTAAAACCATTTACGCGTTTCACCTATGAGGTTTTTTCAAAATGGTAAAAGAACAATACACCTGGCAGAGAACAGAATTTATAAGTTCATACAGTAATTGAATTTGGCGCCAAAATTTAGTGCACCAATCATATTCAATGATTAAAACCGAACGAAAATTACATTAAGAAATGAGTAAAAGACCATATAAATACAAAGATTTAAGCCTGATTAGGCTTGGGTAATACTAATTTTATAAAAACGAAGCTTTTAGAAAGTTTTATTTTAAGTTGGTCCCGATCACGTGATCGGGACGTGCCGCGCATGCGCGGACCGTCTAAATAGGCGGATCGCTTAGAGATGTAAACAGAGGGCTCGGTGGCCGGCATGGGAGCGCAATGCTCCATGGGAAATGGAGTCCTGCCGGTCATCGAGCTCTTAAGGGCAGAAAACATAAGGGATTGGATTTTAAACAGTTTTACAGTATTCCAATAGAAGTATTTAGCAGAATCCATTTTACAATCTTACAGCATTCCAATAGAAGTATTTAGCAGAATCCATTTTACAATCTTACAGCATTCCAATAGAAGTATTTAGCAGAATCCATTTAACAATCAGGATAATAATAAAGCTGCAAATGCTAAAAATACACATACTGAAAATATAAATACAGGTATATAAATGTATTATGTAATATATAATCTCTGCAGTATAAATGCACTAAAAATAATTTAAAAGATAAGAATTCCATAAAAAATGAAACAGTAAAAGTGGGTATTGTTATAAAAAATTATGCAGATCAAAATCTGCATTAAGTCCATTAGGTGTTAAAGTCTGTAGTTTATAAACCCACTCCATCTCAATTTTACCTAAAATATTTTTTATATCTCCTCCTCTCCAAGGTAATGAGCATTTTTTTATACCCATATATTTTAACATTTTTGGGTCTTTGTTGTGGATTAAAAAATGTTTGGATAAAGAGTGGTTTAAATAACCATTTTTTATGTTCCTACAATGCTCACCTAATCTGATTTTTAAACATCTGGTGGTCATCCCAACGTATTGGAAACCACACGGGCATTGTAGTAAATAGATAACGTTTTTGGTGTTACATGTTATAAATTCTTTTATTTTAAAAGTGGTTTTGGTTTTGTTTGAAGTAAATTCTGTTATTTTTGGTGGCATTGTAGGATCAGCGGTTTTACATACATTACAGTTTTTGCATTTATAAAAGCCTAGAGATTGCGGAAAAAAGGATACAGAGTTATTAGATTTAGTTTCTTTAGTAAAATTGGTGGTAAGAATAGATTTAAAATTAGGAGCCCCTCTAAAAATTACACTAGGTTTTTCTGGAATAATCTTGGAGAGTTTTTCATCGTGTTCTAAAATGTGCCAATGTTTCCGGATAATCTTTTGTATTTCTTTGCTCTTATTATTAAAATTAAAGATGATAGGGAGGGATATAGAGTCGTTTTTACTTTTGAGCTTATACTTTAAAAGCTCATCTCTATTTTTATTTTTTACCTCATTGATATTCTCCAAAAGGGCTTTTTCTGGGTAATCTTTCTCCATAAATTTGTTTTTGAGAGTATTAGCTTGTTCTTCAAAATTTTCTAGTTGTGTGCAATTTCTGCGTAGTCTGAGAAATTGACTTTTCGGGACACTGTCAAGCCATGGTTTATAGTGGCAGCTGTTCTTGTCAATCACTGTGTTTACACATACTTTTTTTAAAAAAGTTTTTGTATTAATTTTACCGTTTTTAATAAATATATTGAGATCTAAAAAGTTTATTTGTTCTCTACTAAACTCGTGGGTTAAAATTATACCCCTATTGTTGGTATTAAGAACATTAAAAAAAGAGATAAGATTGTCTTCGGATCCATTCCAGATAAAAAAAAAGATCATCAATATATCTAAAATATGAGACCAGGTTTGCCCTTAAATTGTCCCCATTATAGATAACTGTAGATTCCCAATCTGCCATAAACAGATTGGCATAGCTAGGGGCAAACCTGGTACCCATAGCTGTTCCTCTTTTTTGGAGGTAAAAGGAATCTAAAAACCAAAAGTAATTGTTTTTTAAAATAATATTAATACCCTCTAAAATGAAATCTATTTGTTCTTCCGGAATTCTATCTTCCTTTAATAAAATATTTTTGATGGCTTCACATCCAATGTTGTGGGGTATAATTGTATATAATGATTGGACATCACAAGTAACCAGGATAAAATTGGGGTCCCATTTAAAATCATTTAAAAAGTTTAAAAGAGACATAGAGTCTTGAAGATAAGATTTCATTTTTTTAACGGCAGGTTGTAAAAGAGTGTCTATATATTGGGATAGGTTGCATAAAAGCGAATTTATCCCTGACACTATTGGTCTGCCAGGGGGATTAGTGTCATTTTTGTGTATTTTTGGCAGAAAATATATTACCGGGATTTTTGGAAATTTTTTGTTTAAAAAGTTGTACTCTTGTTTAGTTAAAATGGATTGAGATACACCTTTGTTTAAAAAAGTTAAAAAGAGATTTTGAATGGTCTTTGTTGGATCTGATGGAAGTTTCTCATAGACATCGGGGTCGTTTAACTGTCTATGCGCTTCCTCTATGTACATGGCACTAGATAGGATGACTAGACCACCTCCTTTGTCGGCTGGTTTTATCACAATATCTTTGTCTTCTTGTAACTCTCTAAGTGCTTTTCTTTCGTTGTTTGTTAAATTTTGTGTATCATATTTATTAGTCTTTAACTTATTTAGATCGTTTGTAACTAGTTTCTCAAAAACAGATAAAGGGGCAGTTTTCATAAAAGCTGGATAAAATTTAGATTTGTCTTTAAAATGTGTGTTAATAATATGTTTTCTCTGGGAGGGGGAGGGGGGAAGAATTGCACTATTATCAGTGGGATTATTGGAGATAAAATTTTCTTCTGTTTTTTCTTTAAAATAGCGTTTCAGAGTTGCTTTTCGGACAAACTAAAGAAAAAACAGAAGAAACACAGTGATTGACAAGAACAGCTGCCACTATAAACCATGGCTTGACAGTGTCCCGAAAAGTCAATTTCTCAGACTACGTAGAAATTGCACACAACTAGAAAATTTTGAAGAACAAGCTAATACTCTCAAAAACAAATTTATGGAGAAAGATTACCCAGAAAAAGCCCTTTTGGAGAATATCAATGAGGTAAAAAATAAAAATAGAGATGAGCTTTTAAAGTATAAGCTCAAAAGTAAAAACGACTCTATATCCCTCCCTATCATCTTTAATTTTAATAATAAGAGTAAAGAAATACAAAAGATTATCCGGAAACATTGGCACATTTTAGAACACGATGAAAAACTCTCCAAAATTATTCCAGAAAAACCTAGTGTAATTTTTAGAGGGGCTCCTAATTTTAAATCTATTCTAACCACCAATTTTACTAAAGAGACTAAATCTAATAACTCTGTATCCTTCTTTCCGCAATCTCTAGGCTTTTATAAATGCAAAAACTGTAATGTATGTAAAACCGCTGATCCTACAATGCCACCAAAAATAACAGAATTTACTTCAAACAAAACCAAAACCACTTTTAAAATAAAAGAATTTATAACATGTAACACCAAAAACGTTATCTATTTACTACAATGCCCGTGTGGTTTCCAATACGTTGGGATGACCACCAGATGTTTAAAAATCAGATTAGGTGAGCATTGTAGGAACATAAAAAATGGTTATTTAAACCACTCTTTATCCAAACATTTTTTAATCCACAACAAAGACCCAAAAATGTTAAAATATATGGGTATAAAAAAATGCTCATTACCTTGGAGAGGAGGAGATATAAAAAATATTTTAGGTAAAATTGAGATGGAGTGGGTTTATAAACTACAGACTTTAACACCTAATGGACTTAATGCAGATTTTGATCTGCATAATTTTTTATAACAATACCCACTTTTACTGTTTCATTTTTTATGGAATTCTTATCTTTTAAATTATTTTTAGTGCATTTATACTGCAGAGATTATATATTACATAATACATTTATATACCTGTATTTATATTTTCAGTATGTGTATTTTTAGCATTTGCAGCTTTATTATTATCCTGATTGTTAAATGGATTCTGCTAAATACTTCTATTGGAATGCTGTAAGATTGTAAAATGGATTCTGCTAAATACTTCTATTGGAATGCTGTAAAACTGTTTAAAATCCAATCCCTTATGTTTTCTGCCCTTAAGAGCTCGATGACCGGCAGGACTCCATTTCCCATGGAGCATTGCGCTCCCATGCCGGCCACCGAGCCCTCTGTTTACATTTCTAAGCGATCCGCCTATTCAGACGGTCCGCGCATGCGCGGCACGTCCCGATCACGTGATCGGGACCAACTTAAAATAAAACTTTCTAAAAGCTTCGTTTTTATAAAATTAGTATTACCCAAGCCTAATCAGGCTTAGATCTTTGTATTTATATGGTCTTTTACTCATTTCTTAATGTAATTTTCGTTCGGTTTTAATCATTGAATATGATTGGTGCACTAAATTTTGGCGCCAAATTCAATTACTGTATGAACTTATAAATTCTGTTCTTTGCCAGGTGTATTGTTCTTTTACCATTTTGAAAAAACCTCATAGGTGAAACGCGTAAATGGTTTTAAAAAGTGTATTTTAAATCAATAAAAGTTATTTTTGGCTAGCCTTTTATACGAGGACCAATCTTATACTTATTTTTATTGTATTTTATACATTTCAACTACTCCTGGCACTTTCATACATTGTTTTTATACTATATCTTTTTATTTTTTATTTTTATTTTTATAAAAAAAAATTTTATTTTTAATTTTTATTTCTTAAAACACCATAACCCTGAAGTGTATCCTGTCAAAAGAAATCCTCAGGTGGGGATAATTCCACCAGCGCTGTGGTAATAGAGCAGTATTTGTCTGCTCTATTCTTGTAAGTATAACTTATTTTCTTAAAATATTTTTACTGTTCATACTGAGAGCACTATCTACTGTTTTATATATTTTGTGGATACCCATTATTCCAAACTGGAGAGGCGGACCTATCTCCCCAAGCACCATAGAACTACACACATCTGAGCAGGTTCCAGCCTACATCAAGGAAATCCAAAGTTGTGAAAGACGGACCCATCACTAAAGTATATCCGATAGTGGGGATCAAACCACTAAGTGCCTCTTCTCCTAGAGCTGGTTCAAGCTCCAACAAATGTGAGTGGAATACTTTTCTCTTGATTTATACATCACACCTAAACGTACTATATTTCACCATTGGAAGCTCTTTATCTGTTTTTTCCACATATATGGACTATCTGCCACCACACGGACGGATCAACACCTGAGGAATATTACCCTACCATCACATATCAGTGAGACTGTTTTTATCCATTTTTAGATGAACTTTGTCTATTGATTATATTCTATTTTTTTATTATTTTTTAGCGCAGCCCTTTCCCCCCTTTTTGTATTTTATTGTCTCTACAAGGGTTTCTTGAGGGATTCCCTTATAGGGTTGCTGCTCCTCCGGTTTAGCGCAGACTCTTCTCCCCCCTTTGTTTTGCAATTTGTATAATTCCCTCTAGAGTCAGCAGCTTTTCTACTTGTTTCCCATCATGTCTATATTTGACTACAGGAATAACTATATTATTGATGTCGAAAATGTATTTGACACAGAGGTAATCAGCCCAATTCAGATAAATTACCCTATTTTTAACCAAGAAGATCTTTTTATTAAATTAGAAAGATCCCTTACCTCAGAAATCAAATTAAAATGGGAAATAGCCACCCTAAAAAAATACATTGATGAAAGAATTACCCCTCGAGGTCTAAGATTACTCAAATTACCTACTTCCGATCAAGATGATCCTGAATTCATGGAAGAATGGAATAATAAACTGGAACTATGCACCCTAGGCCTAATGGAGACCTTAATTGTAAAA